AGCTAATGGTTATTGGACAGCTAGATACCAGGAACCATTTTAAGTATATGTTAATATTTAATACTCAAAAGAACTCTATAAAGTAGGACCTATGATTATACTGACTCTACATGTAAGGAAACTGAGGCTCAGAGAGCTTCTACTGGGGAGGAAGCAGATTGGGTGCTGAGTATAGAGTTGAACCAAGCCTTCCATGCTAAGAAAAACATACTGTCTGATAAGATGGAAAGACATTGACCACAGATTCATGAAAGTGGACAGAGCGAGAGGAAACTCCTGTCCTTCATATTATTAGACCTTCCCTCACCTCATTTTTAGGATAGATATAAGGACCAGAAAGGGAAGGAAATGGCGCAGGAAGAGCTGACATCTCCCCGGCTGTTTATGGAGTACTTGGCTGTTCTCCACTCCATTCCTTTGTGACTTACCAGCAGGAATGGGGAGGCATGTTGGGAGTGCTTGGTTAGTGGCACTGAGACACAGAGAAGTTATGGAACTTGCCCAGAGTACACAGTAAGAGGAAAAACAAGGACACAAACTCAGAAAGTCTAGTTCCAGGGTCTACACAGCTAATCACTCACTTGTTCCCCAATCCCTTTCTTTACTTGGCTCCCAAACCATCTCACTGGCCTTATTTTCCTCCTGCCTTTCTGTGGGTTTGTCTCAGCCTCCTTTCCTGGTTCTTTCTCAGTTCCCTGACTTCCAGAAGTGAGAGCAACACACATATCAGATTTGGACCCATTCTCTAACTCCATTCTTACATGATCTCATCCAGTTTCACAGCTTAAATATCACTCTACGCTAACTTCCAAGTCAACACCTCCTGCCTGGGACTATCCCATGAAGTTAAGATTCACAGGTATCTGCCCATCCATTCCATTCCATTCCTCCATGTGGGTATCTAAAGGGCATCTAAAAATCAACATGCACAAAACTGACTTCTGCTCATCTTCCACAAACCCACCGCTCCTCCACTCTAATTTTCCAGGCCAAACATGGGGTGCCATATTTGAGTGCTTGTTTTCTCTAGCACTCCATATTGGTCTATAAAACATACCCTAGATTTGCTCATGCTTCACCACCTCCACTATCACTAGTCCAACCCACTATTATCTTTCGTCTGGATTTGCAGCGTCTTCTAAATGGTCTCCCTGCTTCTCCCTTTGTCCTCCTATCAATCAGAACCAACTAGAATGAACTAAGTGAAGCAAAATCTACACACCTACCATACCAAGAATCTCATTAATCAACCAATGATATTTCAAAGCAATATTTTTTTAAAATGCTAAGGATCACAATGAACAAAGCAGTACATTTTTCAAATAAAACAGGACCAGATCCTGGATTTGCATTACTCACTCCCCGTACCTCCTCCTCACCCCAGCCCTGACCCGTACACCCTTCCGTGTATTTCCAAGGGTCAGAGTGACTCTGTTCAAACATAAGGAAAATTTTGTCAATGCTCTGGCCTCACACATCAGAGCAAAAGCCAAAGTCCTTCCTGTGACCGACAAGATCCTTCGTGGTCTGATCAGACTCCCTCTGACGTCAACTCCCCCACTTCGCTCCTCAGTCACTCGGCCCGTCCCCTACCACACTGCCCTTTTTGGCATTCTGACAAAAGCTCCCAGCTCAGCCCTTACTCTTGCCAGACCCTCTACCTAGAGTGCTCTACCCCCCATACATCCCTCACTTCCGAGTCTCTTCCCAAATTCACTCTATCAGGACCACACTATCTGTTTGCCCACCCACAAACACATACTTCATATTGACTTTGAAGTATTGAACACATACTTCCACTCTTGACTTTTTTTTGGAATTGTCATATTTTACTTATTTTTTGATATATATTAGTTGCACATATGTTGAGGGGCACATATGATATATTGATACTTGTATACAATGTGTGATGATCGAATCAGGGTAATTGGGACATCAGTCACTCAAAGATTTATTTTGTCTTTGTGTTAGGAATATCAGAAATCTTTTCCAACTATTTTAAAATATCCAATAAATTTTTATGAACTATAATTTCCCCACTGAACTATCAAATACCAAAGCTTATTCCTTCTAACTGTGTTTTTGTACCCTTAACCAACTTCTCTTCTCTTCTCTTTGTCTCCTCATCTCCTTCCCCTTTCCAACCTCTGGTAACCACCATTCTACTCTCCACCTCCATGAAACGCACTTTTTATATTTTATTAACTGATCTTATTTATTATCTCTACTTGCTATAAAACGCCATGGAATATTTAGGGGATGGGTCCATTTTATTCTCAGCTATCTCTCTCCTGTCTTGAAATTTCTTGGAAAATAGTAGATAATAAATATTTTTCGAAGTAATGAATGATAAACATGCAGGAGTGTTTCCCTCCATCTCTCAGGGTCTTAATGTTTAGAATACATAGGCTTTAAATTCTGCTGCCTCAATCAATTACACTTTTGCAATGTCATAGTCTCAGATTTGAAAAATTTATAAGATGTTGAGTTAGAAAACATATTGCAAAACTTTTATTTCAAAGGAGTCATGTTTTTAACAAAAGATTGACTTGCTTAAAAAAAAAATATTTATCTGGGATTTAAGTTCACCCCCTACCTTGGGTCAACACTGGGAGAGAGGATTGTTGTTGAGAAATAAAAATTAACGATCGAGTGTCTCTTGTGGCAAGTTCTGAATTTTATTTGCATGTTCTGATTCCTAAGGATTTGAGACTATTTGGAGATGTTACGGATTTTCTCAATAACTTCAGAGTGGATTTATATGTAATCAAAAGATTTTTATGATGTCAAAACACCTTTACTAATCATTAACTAAAGATAGGTTTTGCAAATACAAACTTGTCATTTCACCATGAACTGTTATCTTTTTGATGGAAAAGATTAAATTCAACAAAGAGCAAATCTACAACTTGGCAAAAGACTATAGACTTTGCCTTCAACAAGCCATACGAAATATATACACAACCCTATCAGAGTCCCTCCACAGCCTCCCCGCTCCTGCCCGTTAAATACAGCCCAGTGGGACAGTTTGAGAGTGTCCCAATGAAAAGACAATTTCGTAACATATGTGGAAAGTGCAAGCGTTAGACTTTGTCTCAAAGGCTAGTTTTCTTTGTAAATCTTGAAAATGTCTTTGTCTATCTTATTTGTCTATTTTTAAAGGATTTATATTGTTTCATAGCGATTTCTAATGACTATATTCACCTGCAGTTGAGGATTATAAAGTGAATACAGGTCTCAGTTTACCCGTAAGATATAGTATCCATAGAGAAAACATTTATATTGTAAATGTGTCAGTAAAGCTACTTGTCCCAACTTGAATTGCTACATTTATATCAAATAGTCACCATTAGAAAGAAACTTTGTCCTAGCCCAAATACAAACTTGAGATTTTTTTTTAAGCCACCGCTTTTTGCAAAGTGCAGAACTGAAACTTGTATGTTAACTTACTGAGTTAGCAGACAGCCTGTAACACACAGTGCCCCGAAGTTGAGCACAGGACAGAGCTGGTACACAAGAGAGGATTAAGGTACTTCTGGAAACAGTGAATGAATACAAACTGAACAAGCACAAATCTTAAGAATGATCAAAGGCAGACATTGTTTTGTCCCTGTAACAGAGTGAATGAGTGGTCTCCCTATGGAATCTCACATTTTTTTCCTTTGGTTTTCTACTATTGGAAATATTACTTTCTAAATGATGCTTATCTGTTAATTTGGAGGCTTTTTCAATTGTACTACTTCAGTAATAAAAATACCACTATTGCTATTATTACTAACACCACTATTAATAGTCCTAATGATCTTTTTATTATTACTAATGGTAATATTCTATTACTATTCCATTAGTTTAGCAATAGTAATTTTAGTAATGGAATACCTTGAAGTTTCATTGTTTTGAAATGATCACTGTGGCTTCATTTTTTTCTGTCACCCCATTTTTGATCCAGTTCCCTATACTATTAACAGCCTGTTCATTCTGAATCTATGAACGACAATGAAAAGCAACATAGAAAATCTCAATGCATATGACAGAAACTTTTCAAAAGGACTTATAGTCAAATATATTCGAGCTGCATTTGATGCAAATCACTGTAAAACACATTTCCTGTGTCCTGGTCAGCAGAGTGCAGTCAGCAGGGTGAAGACCCAGCACAGACCCTTCACGGCACCACTCACACTCTAACCAGCAGGTCAGGGTCCCCCTGTGCACACAGGGCCTCCGGGGCCTCACACCACTATAGCTCGTCCTTGGCCTATGAACCTGTGGATTTGAGCAACCATTGCCTCATGTTCCCCAAATGGAAAGTATAGATGATGGAATGCTGAAATTATGTATTACTGTTTACATACACAAACATGAACGTATGCAACCTTTCCTGATTTCTCAGATTTGACAAAGGTTTTCGCGTACCCTGCTGAGCGTGTCTGTGTCTGTGATCAGGACATCAGCAGGCCCTTCTCACACCGGCTCAAAAGCATTTCTCGTTCTTGATTTGTCCAAATCCATGTCACATTTTTGTCAACTGCAGTGGTTTAAACAAGACTTCTGAATATATGATACCCACACACTTCCTTCTAGAACTCTATCTTCAGAGAATAAATAAATGTCTCAGGTAACACAGAGAATAAAGCTCAATCTCTGAACATTCTGATTCTCTATCTTAAGTGCCCTTTTCCACATCTGTAAGGACCATCCTTCATATTCTTGTAATAATCCTGAGTTAATTTGTTTTTGAGCATTTGATAACATCCTGAGATAAGAAGATCGAGAATTATTGATTTGCCTTTGGAAAATGGATATTATTTGTTTTTGACTTCTAAATTTCAACTAATATTGAACGTTTTTTAAAAAAACTCCGAGAGTACCTTTCACTGGCCCTGTTTGTGCGTAGCTGTTAACCTTAACAACTTATTTATAGAGAATGTTTCCTGATGATGAAGGACGATTTTGGACTTGGCAACAGCAATGTACTTAATTTATCTTAAATTTGGTTTCAGTGAGCAACCCTAATTAACCTGATTTTTTGCTGATAATCACTCTCAATGGAATCAAATCACAAATCCGGGGATGGATTGAGCGGAACCCAGAAGGAAGCAGCCCTCCGCGCACTGGTCCAGCGCACAGGATATAGCTTGGTCCAGGTAGGAACTTCTTGTGACACCCGCTGAGACTCACCACTGAATTTGCACAGTGGTGGGAGGATTAGAGGTCCTAAAATGCAAAACGTGAACCGCCATTCGTGACCACTTTAAAGGTGTCCTTTTCTAAAAGAGAAATTGTATCATTTCAGTTTTGTAAGTGACTTTCTCTCTACTCTGGATTATCAACTCAACTTTACTGTGTCATTTGAAAACAGAATATGTCCACAGTTGTAGAGACTATCTGAAAGGCAGGTAAAATTGGCTACCCAAGGCTGTGGAGTAGAACCAAGCTATTGTTTCAGGAATCAGCAGTGACTAAATGGCTCAGGAACTAGCTTAATTTTCAGAGAAATCACTGCAGATGTAGGAAGAATTCTAGATGTGGGGTCCCAGGAAGGACGCTTTTGTCAGCCTTGCTATTGAAGATTGTTTTCTCAAAACAGCCACCCGTTCCAGCCACCCATGGAATACTAACTTCTGTCTATATTTAGCATTTTTCAAAAGGAAAATAAAAAGCCCAGAATTATAAAACTGTCTATTTACAGACATTAGTTTTTAGAAATTATCTGTATATCATTGTTGTCTTTGCGATAACTTCCTTTGGAGAATTTATGAAGCATTAGAAAGTAACCTACATAGTATTAGACACATTAATTCTTATCTGAAGAAATAATGTTATTCTTTTGAAAGTAGGAGAAACTATTTTAAATCTTCAGTTACTGTCTTTAACTCACAGAGTTTTCTGACTTAATCAAATCTAGGTACCGCTATAAATACAAATGTCTCATATGATTAAATATAAAATATGCAACAGTGTCCTCCTATTAGATGCTCCTTTGTCAGATTGGTGCAAAATGTATGGTATTTTGATTTCTGATTAGTCTTATGAATCATGGTATGCCTTGTTAGACATAATACATGCTCAAAGTCTATGTCTAGTCCACATAAGCCCAATTAAAAACTTATCATCATTCAGTAGGTCCCTTTCCCAGGTATGCCAGGGTGCAGGGTGAGTTCTCTTTGGTTTTCCTGCTTTCTGCTTTCCTGTTCCTGTACCAGTTTGCTCACTCCTATTTCTGACTCAGAGTTGAAGCACAGGGAGGAAGAAAGGCCAATGAGTGGGGAAGGAAGCTACCGGCATTGGGCTCTCCAGCCTGAAAGGCATTTCAAGCTTGTGGGAGTCTCTGTAGGATCCTCAGAGACATCCTTATTTCCAGTATTTTTTTTTAACACTCAATAAAAGTCAAGTTATTTTAGTTGGGAGTCTTTCACCTGACCTCACTTTTCTTAGTCTTCTTGGAGAGGATGAAGGATAATGCCTAATTCCTAAACTCTAGTCCCCTGGCAACACCCAAAGCATGCTCTGACCAAGTGAAATCTGAAAGTACAGGTGACACAAAGTAATTCCCTCTCCTTGCCAGCATCAAAGCGGTGGGCTGACCCATTGCTCGTCCTTAGATATTTCAGCAATGAGCTAGACTTGCCGCCACGTGTGTTCACCCCACACAAAGGCACAGAATACCGATCAAGCTCTCTATGTGGTTTCCTGGCTACCCTTCTCCCCTGCTTTAGGCAAATGAGAGGCAATTCCCAATTTCTCTCACATAAGGGGAAGTAAGACTCACAACACAACGGCAGTTGTGTAAATTCCAAAACTCCTCTCAAACTCTCCAATCTCTTTTCTAAGCTCAGGGTGTTTTGAAGGAGTTAAGATGGCAAAAACAGTTTCTGCTACCTTTTCATCCTGCTTGGTGCTCTAAAGACTTGGTTTCATTCCTAAACGAAAGGCCAAAGTTAACAATAATTTCTTGCATATTTCAAAATAGCTAGGAGATTTGGAATGTTACCAACAGAAAGAAATAATATTTCAAGTGATGGACATCCCAGTTGCTGATTAGACCATTATGCATTACATGCAGGGATCAAAACATCACGTACAATTATGTACAATGTGTACAATTATTATGTATCGATAAAAGTTCAATCCCACCTTGAAATCCCATTACAAATGAAATAGTATTCAGTTACTAAAAGGGATCATTTAAAAAAAATTCTGCAAAACAAAAAATGGTAGCAAATTATTACAGCTATATAAAAAGTTCACAAAATTCTTTTAGAAGACTCAAATAGCAACGGAGAGAATTTTACTCTACTATAAAATTTTACTCCTTTGTAAGATTTAATGCTGTGATTCAAGAACATTTGCATGATGGGGGAAAAGGAATAACACCTGATGTTATAATTTATAATGTTTTCATAGAAAATATCCCTACAATATATGGCCAATCTGCATATCACTTCGTTATTATATATTTAATAATATTCAGGAATAAAAATAATGAGGATTTAAATTCCAGCAGTAATAATAACAAAAATAAATTTATTTGGTACTTCTAGTCTAAATGCTTTATGTATATTAATTCATTTAATCCTTTCTGTGACATTATGCTGTCACTACTATGACCAAATCTCCAATTTTCTAACGAACAAGGCACAAAGAGGTTAGGTAATTTGTGAGATTTGATAGGCTAGGACTCTATTGTTATTGACCAAAATATCCGGCCAGATTTAGAGAACTAAGAGTAGAATAATGTAATTTTTAAGGTTGTAATTTTAGAGTTAGGATGCCAGGGCATGCGGAAAATATTTTTGTTGAAGCCTAAACTTTGTAACATAATTCATTTTAAGTATGTTAAGTATTTGTTAGCAGACTGAGTTACAATGAGCATTGTTCAGAACTCCTCCAAAGCCTAATATTCCAAAAACTAGCTATCTAGACTAAAGCCGCTAATCAAAATGTAAATACATATATATATAAGCGATCATTTCGGATGATATTGGAAAATCCCTCCTAATTTTGGCTGCAAGGTGTGGAAAATCACCCAAGACTTCCAATCAGAAGGCCTATAATCTAACCTGGTGTCTACCACATATGACTTGTATCATTTTGAACGAGTCCCTTCACCACGCTGGGAATTAACTTCCCAGCTAGCTCCTACCCAACTCTATTTGCCGTGATTTGGGGATTCCAGTATCTTCTGAATCTAGTCATTAGTCAGCAAACTGGACTGTTTGGCCGAAAAAGTAGCCTAGGGATATGTAGAGACACAGCCTTACACTTTGAAAATTAGGTAATATCCTTTGTCATTAATACTTATCTTCCTACTCTAGATTATAGGAAAGATTTTTATTATCTAGAAACAAACAAAAAAAATAAAAAATAGAGAGAGAAGGCAAGCTAATATTTTAAGATTTACTCTTTTAAAAATTTTTGTATAAAAGAAATATCTGAAGTACAGTTCAGGAAGCAGACCTATAAAATGATATTTTAAAATTGTATGGTATTTGCTAAGTTAGGGTTTGAGGGATTTACTTTTGCTATATCTTTGAGGTCTCTGATGTTGAATGTTGAAAACTTGCAAAACAAGAATTAAAAAAAAAAAAAAAACCCAGAGAGTGACCAGTTAGTGCTCTCTTATCACTAGCAGAACAAATAGAGCTGTCAAAAATAGAATTTTGTGAGTTACTTAATAACATGAGCCAATCTTGAATATAGCAACTGTTGCAACACCACATGCTTCTGAGGGCCTGAAAATAGGCTTTGTGGTAACTTTTAAAAATAATTGGATATCTTTGGATATTGATGCCTGAAAATTCTATCAAAGTACTTCATAAAAGAGACTTAATATAGCACCCTACTTATAGTAGGTATTCAGTGAATATTATTGATCAAAATTGTATAATGTTGACAAGCCAAACTTTAAACTTCATCATTATAGCATACATATTCAAATATTTTGGAAAGAAGTATGCTATGATGTTAACATCTATACCTTTATCTCTAGGTAATGAAATTACAGGTAGTTTTTGCTTTCCTACTTTTTCATCCTCAACTATTCTCAGATTTCTAAAGCTAGCATATATTTGAGAATTAATGATGAAAAAATTCACAGTGGGATGAGCCTTTCTTTACTAAAGCATTAGTGATGTAGGTCATAAACTCTGTGACATGTGATATACCTCCCACTTGAAGCTTTCTCCTTAGAACTCATCTGAAAATCTAAGAAAATAGATTCCCATGGATGAGCATATTCAGAAAGCTTTCCAGCTGATGTGGGATGAATTTACATCAATTTCAATCCTTAAAACTAAAGCTAAACATATATTTAATAAGAATCCCTGGCTCAGCGCCTGTGGCTCAAGTGGCTAAGGTACCAGCCACATACACCCAAGGTGGCAGGTTCGAATCCAGTCCGGGTCCACCAAACAACAATGATGGCTGCAACCAAAAAATAGCTGGGCATTGTAGCAGGTGCCTGTGGTCCCAGCTACTCAGGAGGCTGAGGCAGGAGACTTGCTTGAGCCCAGGAGTTGGAAGTTGCTGTGAGCTGTGATGCTATGGCACTCTACCCAGGGGTACAGCTTAAGGCTCCTATCTCAAAATAAAAAGAATCCCCTTTAAGTAGTCTAAATACTTTTAAAAACTAGATTCAGTGAGGTGGGAGGTTTGAGCCTAGGTGTTCAAAACCAGCCTGGGCAACATAGCAAGACCTCATCTTTACAAAAAATAAAAAACTAAAAATAGCTCAGTGGATTGGCCCTCACCTGTAATCATAACTAGACAGAAGGCTAAGGCAAGAGGATCATTTGAGCCAGGAGTTGGAGGTTGCTGTAAATTATGATTGTACCAGTGCACTCCAGCCTGGGCAACAGAGAGAAACCCTGCCTCAAAAAAAAGAAAAGAAATAGACTCAGGATACTTGTCAAATATTAATTTTAAATGATTTTTAAAATGGTGGGTATTAGCTTTGTTTACCCAATTATCCTGTTGGTGACTTATTTTCTAAAAATCATCACAGCACAATTAGTTTTTATCACAATCAGTTTTTATGAAGTATGCTAGGCTCATTGCTTTCTTAAACCAGTGATTATCCTGAATAAACATAAAGGGTTTATTTTTGTTTTCTGTTTTGTTTCCTTAGTCCCCTTTGTTGGAAGTG